ACCCTTTTTTTCTGGTTGAAAAAAATTCCTTCAAGCTACTAGCCATTATTAGCACTGAATGTGCAGACAGGACACCAGTCAAGCACTGGAGAAAAAGTAATGGCTTCGGAAGCATCAGCAAGCCCTCTTTTCCCTAAGTAGAACTAGCTTTCAGTATTGTCACATAAGGAAAACCCTGTTCCTCTTCTCCCCTAATTAAGTTTATGATTCAGAAAAGGAAAGAAAAATCCTTCATAATTTTGAAAAAAAAAAAAAAAAAAAAAAAAAAAAAAAAAGCATAGTGGGAGCAAACATCAAACTATTCTCCTTTCAAACTTGAAAAACCTTTAAAGTAGTTGGCGATTTCCTAAACAGCGTGTGCCTTTAAATTGGTAATTAGGTGGCATTTTTTCAAAAGAGGGAAAGCAACCAGTAATGTAGCTGCAAAAACAGTATTGCCAAGCTAGGAGTGTTGATCAGGAAAAAGTGGATGTAAGGACGTGTTTCAGAGGATTCACTGGAATTAGCTGAATTAAATTAAGAAAGAGAATATAGGCCAAATATTGAAGACGTAATAGATAGGCTGGTGACAGGCCTGGAAGTTAATGCGATTGTGTCAACTTCTGACATTTTATTAAGATTCCTATAGGTGGTATTTAATTGAAATACAGTTTCTGAATTCAGTCTGGGAACAAGTAATTCTGTGAGTTCTTCAGTTTTTACCTTAAAATTTCTCATCTTAATGCTTTCATTAAAAAAAAAGGCATGCAACCATGTTTTATGTGTGTGTTAATGGTTTAAAGAAAGACTTTTAAAAATATTCTAGGGATCAGCAAACTTTGTTTTCTAATATTCAGCATTGATGACAAACATCTGAACTCATTGTAAAGGTGTGTACTGCTTCCATGCGTATTATTTCGCCCTGTCCTTTGTACTGTTTGCGAGTGCAGTTACAGTATGGGTCTAATTTTCAGAAATCTGTTGAGCACTTGGTAGCACACTGCTATATGTGAGATCAAAGTTGAGCCTTTGGCTTGTGACAAAAGCAGAATTCAGTCTTTGTAGCAGGAAGTTCCTGGGCTGATGGCATGTCAAGACAGCAGGAAGAGTGCAGTGGCTAATGGCTAGGATGTTATATTACAGGTAATTTTTATATAACACACTGTGTGCAGCAAAGCAATTGGCGACTTACAAAGACACTGTGAAGAAAATAGCACCTTCCACGACGCAAGGCCTCTTTGAAGAAGGGACTTTGATGATTGGAAAGGAGGTGGTTAGTGTTTTGTCTAGTGCTTTATCTCTAATAGGCAAATAAATTACCAGTTTTCAGCATAGAGGAATGTTTACAGGAATATGTTCTGAAGATAGCTTAATGTAACAAATAATCATAACTGGGTGAACAAGGTGATTCTGAAAATGGCACAAATTATTTGGCTTAGTTAAAATAAAAGATGACTGAGAAAGCAAACAGCGAAATGAAAGGGTGGCACAGTGGTAGGCAACATTCAGTAGTGACAGTTGGAGGAAAATGTACATTGGAAAGAGTTCTTTGAATTGCTAATAAATATTGCTGAGTTCTATTTAGTGATATTATCAAAGCAGAGATATACTAAATGAAAATGCAAATAACACAGCTGAAGCTGTGTTGCACGGTTAACCTGCAGAACACCATGCCAGAAGATACCATGTAATCCTTTAGTCAGAAGGAATCCAGAAAGAATTAATTATGACTAGGGAATCAATTACATATTTAGTGGAATATTAATGTCTACTTGGATGAAATAAACTGTGAAATATGAATTGCTAACTTACAGGGAATAGGAAGGAATTTCTATAGAAAAATGTTTTCCACTCTGATATTATATTGATACAGAAAACTTTCCGAGATAAAGACTTTCTGAGACTTTCTAGTATAAAAATTCTAACTAAAAGGCAACAGTTACCCATTTCTATTCATACTGGTATGTAGAAAAAGGATAAGGTATTGTGATTTCTTTCAATGCAGTGCCATGAAACATATTTGAGTAAATCAATGATGGACGGGAAAATAGATAACTTGAAAGGTTACAAAGTACCAGGCAAAAATGCACAAGCAAATTAATTTATAAATGTGGTAAGAAACCTCTAGTAGAAAAGCATGAAATAACGGTTTTCTCTGTGATGTTATTTTTTCATGCCAAATATATCTTGACCTCTAACTCCTGCTTCTGT